CTCCAAGAATCTAATTTAAATAGTTTCAGAGAACAATTTGGTAATCGCTATCAAAGTCAAAAATCCATATTTGTCAGTTCCAGATATTAGTAATTCCATACACCTTAAAATACACAAAGATGCATGTACTTTAATGTCAATTACAAGACTGCAACAATGAAAACCTGGAAATAATCAGCATGTCCATAAACAGGAAGACGGCTAAATAAACTATAGAAGATAGTATATCATGCTATGAAATCATCTGTAGGAGTTAAAAAAAAAAGTAGTGAGAAATTCTACTTCTGGATATAATGAGTTATTCATAAAAGCCATGTGTATAATGAGTTACTCATAGAAGGCCAACTTTCTCACTATAAACAATAAGAAAAATCAAATAAATGACAAGAAATCGTATATTTAAGATATGAGAGCATTACTGAAGCAGAGGACTGAAAAGCAAAATTCCAGACAGAGAGAAAGATTTCAGAGGTGACCTAAGTATAAGCAACTACCCACGGGGGACATCTGCCACTCATGAGCTGGCTCAGGCTAGAGGATCTAGAGGACAGACTCGGGGTTGGCGCAGGCAGCAGACAGCTACTGGGACAGGGAAAGCAGCAGGTCCTCTGGCAGCCACTTGGAGTTCAGGGACAAGGCTGGCCATGTGAGGGAGTTGACCACAGAGTTGGTCTCCCCATCAAGTCAGATTATGAAGTTGCATATGGCATAAAAGTAGAGAGTTAACTCAAAACTTCTCAAAAGCATTCTGCATTCTCTCGGGACTAAGGACTCAGAAATATACCAGACTTTCAATGGAAAGCCCTAGGGGGCCATGCTTAGAACAGGGAGAAAGGTACAGAGTCTAACAAAATTGCAACCTATCCTGATGCAATTTAGTCTGCAGTTGAATTAAGAAGATCAGTCCCTTAACTTGCTTTGTCTAGTAGAGGAAAGGTAAGCCTATGAAGCCTCTATAGTTTTTGTGGTTCTTTTTTAATGCATGGTATTTGCACAAAAATTAGTAGGCATACAAAGACTTAGAAGAACATAAATGACAATTAAGAGAAAATGAAAATAAAAGCAATTAGTAGTTTATATAAATTGATTTTAAAATATTGCTAAACATAAAACTAAACATTTATAATAGCTGGAAAATTAGTGAGTCAGTAACCTATTTGCCTTGATAGGATAGAAGGAAAGAAGCTTGTGGAAGGACAGAAAGAGTGGGAGACCTCATTAACTACCCTAGGAATGGTGATTTCAGTTATACTCATTTTTTAATATAATTTTGCATTAGCAATTTTCATTTGGGTGGGAAAAAGAAGAGTAACATTCAGGATATTTAACACTATTGTATAAATAACTCAAGATTTAAGTAAGTGGAAACAAAGCATAAACTCAAAACAGATAGAAGATTATCTGATAAAAGTGAACATAGGCATACATACCAGTCTTCACATGGCCTGCCACAAGTTAGAGAGAACTAACAATCCACGAAAAATACTCAAAATTAAAATCTTGCAGAAAATTTACAGAAGGACCCCTAGTAAGCCCTGGATTAACCTACAAAGGATTATCATCTATCTCCCCTATTTCTCAGTCATGTCCAACTCTTCGCAGCCCCATGGACTACAGCACGCCAGGCTTCTTCATCCTTCACCATCTCCCGGAGCTTGCTCAAACTCATGTACATTGAGTTGATGATGACATCCAACCCTCTCATCCTCTGTCATCCTTCTCCTCCTGCTTTCAAGCTTTCCCAGCATCAGGGTCTTTTCCAATGAGTCAGCTCTTGGCAGCAGGTGGCCAAAGTATTGGAGCTTCAGTTTTAGCATCAGTCCTTCCAATGAATATTCAGGATTGATTTCCTTTAATACTGACAGGTTTGATCTCCTTGCAGTCCAAGGGACTCTCAAGAGTCTTCTCCAACACCACAATTCAAAACCATCAATTCAGCAGAAGTAGATGTTTTTCTGGGGTTCTCTTGCTTTTTCTATGATTCAGTGGGTGCTGGCAATTTGATCTCTGGTCTCTCTGCCATATTTAAATCCAGCTTGAACATTTGGAAGTTCTCTGTTCACATACTGCTTCTCATAAGACTTCATATCTCCCTTATTAACTTATTAATAGGTACATGCTTCCTTGAGAGACAGTGCTCATGCATACTTCTTTCCTGCACTCAAAACTGAGGCCCCAGAGGACAGCAGTGTGTTAGGTGGATCTCAGTATCCTGCCTCACTTCTAGTAGAGTGTCCATATGAGGTCAGTACTCTACATTTGTCTATGATCTAAACCAAATGAAGACATTCTGACCATAGTGCTTAGCAAGAAAACAGACATTCACTCTGCAGGGCACCATTCATTGAAACCATCAAACCACTGAATCATGAAGCGAGCATCTACAGTCTGGTTAGCATTATGCTAAGCTCACACTTTCACAGCATAAGAATTGCCATGACTCACCTCTTCCCAGTCTGCTTTCTGATCAATATTTCCTCCTAAAAATACGAAATGGGTTAGTGACCTTGAGTTATGAAGAACACAGAGACAGAAAAAGCATTAAATAACAAGAAGGCAAAGCCTTAGGAATGGTTCCTAGTGGAGAATGAGTAAACAGGAAGTATGAATAAATATTTATAGACTACCTGACAACCAAAAAGTCTGTTCTGGCTAAAATGTTTACAGTCACTTGTAAATGGACAACTGAAAAATGTTGTGCTACCAAAGCATTTGAAGGTTACTCCAGTCAGGGAAGATTTTTCATTTTTCATTTTCATAGCTGACCAACAACCCAGTGAAAAATTTCCCCTGATTGTGCATCCTTATCTGAGGAAAAGATTGCTTAAGGGCAAACAAAGCTCTTTCGAAAATCTTCTGTTCAAAGCAGATACCATGGAGGAAACAATTTCATCAGAGGAGGTCTAAATATGTTCCTTTAGTAGGGGAGGAAGAGGTGTTTTTTGTGTTTTAATAAACATGTAGATGCTCTTAGATCCCTCTGGGCAGTGATTTCTGGCACTCCATGTTTATTGGCCTGAGTGTATCTTCCTTACAGATTTAATTCTTCCCTACTGACCTTGAGGCATGATCTTCAGCTAAATTTGCAGCAAGGCTGTGCGTGACTGTGTGAGTCCATAGGTGGACTGTCCATGCTTAGTGACAACCGAAGCTAGGGGAGCAGTTAATTTACAAGGCCTTTCCAGGCAAGACCCATGGTCTAGGTACTGCTGACCTTCATGAGAAAGGAGAGGCTTGGCCACTTTCGTTAGCTGTCCACCTGCACAGATAACAAAACAGGTGCCTAAGGCACACTAGGAACCAAGGGTGGCTTCCAGGCATGACCAGCCTATTTGTATTTCCTGGGGACATATTATCTGCTTGACACTATATAAAGAATATAAGACCTAGACCTTATTTCCATGGAAATTACCATCTACTGAACACACGTAGACAAGAGATAAACTATTTATCATTTTCTCAACTCAGTGAGAGAGGATGAGATGGCTGGAAGGCATCATCAATGACTCAATAGACATGAGTTTGAGCAAATTCTGGGAGACAGTGAAGGACAAGGAAGCCAGGTATGCTTCAGTTCATGGGGTCACAAATAGTTGGGCATGACTTTACAACTGAACAACAAGAACAACATAGCACTTATCAAAACCTGAAACAACTTGTTTCACATGTTTGTTATCTATCTCCTCCACCAGAATGCAGACTGCATGTCTGTAGAGGTTCCTTCTTTCTTGTCTTCCTCTATACTTCAGCTTTAGGACAGGCCTGGTTCATACAAATCATTCCATCAATAATTGACTCATGCACACATTCAAGCCATGTCACTGTCCTAAATGTTGAGGGTAAGCAATTCATTAGCATCTGATAATATAGGCAAGGTTGCTTCTCTCACTGTACCTGTAGCCTGGCAGGAGGAGACAAACAGCCAAGTGTACAAATGAATAAGCAAGATAATTTCAAATAAAGATAAATGCCACTTAGAAAATAAAACCTAGCATTCACCTTTGAATCTTTTATTTTCTTCACTTCCTGCATCCAATGCATCAGCAAGTCCTGAAGACTCTGCTTACTCAACAGCCAAATCTGACCATGGCTGGCCATCCCCACTGCTATGAGCACAATCCAGGTATCACAATGTGTCACATATCCCTTGCAACAGCCTCCTAAATGTGTAGTCTTCTGACTTCCATTCCTTTTGCCTACAATCTGTATCCCACTCTGAGGTCAGTCATTTCCTAAAGCACAGATTGTACTGAAAGTGAAAGTTGCTCAGTCGTGTCCAACTCTTAGCAACTCCATGGACTATACAGTCCATGGAATTCTCCAGGCCAGAATACTGGAGTGGGTAGCCTTTTCCTTCTCTGGGGATCTTCCCAACTCAGGGATCGAACCCAGGTCTCCCACACTACAGGTGAATTCTTTACCAGCTGAGCCACAAGGGAAGCCCAGATTGTACTGCTCTTCTACTAAAAACCCATCTCCATTAGAGTAAAATGTAAGCTCCAAACCAAGGCTTATATGACCCCTTTTATGAAGACGTGGCCCTGCTGAACTCTCTGCCAGCTACTTCCTACCTCTCTCCCTCTTGCTCCCTCTATTCCAGGCACATCAGCTCTGTTAGGTGCCTGCTGCGGCTGCTGCTAAGTCACTCCAGTCGTGTCCTGCTCTGTGCCTGGAACACGTCAAATGATTCTCCCTGTCGTCCTATCTGATTGTTACCTCTGACCAAGAGTCTCTTCCTCCAAGTCTCTGAATGGACAGCTTCTTGTCATCACTCAAATACAAGTTGAATGTGATCTTCTAGAAAGGTCTTCCCTGCTACTGTAGGGAGCTACTGTAACCACCACTGTGGCCAAGTCTACACTCTATTGCATTAATCTATTATATCTGTTATTGCATTTAATACTATCAGAAATTACATTGTTTATTTGTTCCTTTGTTTCCATTTGGGCCCATTAGTGGGTAAGATGCACAAGGGTGGGGACCTTGTCTCTTACCTACAGTCACTGTTGAATTCCCAATACCTTTCATGGACAGGCTCTCAGTAAACTTCTGTGAATGAATAAATGAGAGCAGCTGGAAGGACTACTTTAGGCAGTGTCTAGGGACAGCCCCCTGAGGAAGCAGTATATGAATGAGGCTGGAATGGAAAAAAAAAAAGAATGAATCAATGAATTACATCATTTAGAAGTTTATCTACCTATCTCCCAGAACCAAGAATTCTCCTATGAGGACTGAGTTTACCGTCTTTGCCTTGGATCCTCGGGCTCATGACAGGATGCCATCAGTTCCCTTTTCCCAGCAGTCACTTGCTGTCTAGAGACAGGACGACATCTTAATGTAACAGATGAGAAATGTCCGAGGTGGTTAACTTTATGTGTCAACTTGCCTGAACCACAAAGTGCCAGATATTTGATCAAACATTATTCTGGGTATTTCTGTGAGGGTGTTTTTGAATAAGATTAATATGAAGGGGTTCCACCCAATCAGTTGAAGGTCTGAATGAAATAAAATGATGGCTCTCTGCAAGTGATAGAGAATTCTTCCTACCTGATTGCCTTCAAACCGAGACAGCAGTTTTCTCCTTCCTTCATCTCGGACTGAAACAATGGCTCCTCCTGTGTCTCAGGCCTGCAGTCTTTGGGTTGGAACTGCATTACTGGCCCTCCTGGTTCTCGGCCCCTCAGACGTGGACTGGGATTACACCGTCAGCAACCTTAGATCTCCAGATCTTGCAGATCTTGGGACTTATCAGCCTCCGTAACTATGTGAGCCAATTTCTTATACTAAATAAAGGTTAGTTCCCCTAATCTGTTACTTCAAAAAAAAAGACACAATATAACTTTTCTGGGTGACTCAACACTATCCTTATGAATTTCTATCATTATGGGTATGGCAATCCAACTTTGTGGCTACACTTTAGTTTTGGTCTCTTCCCTTAGTGTCAAAAATATCTTCTAGCATTCCTACATTTACTAATCTGGCATGTCCTTAAAACCCAGAAATCTACATTTGTCAAAAATAAAGTTTCAAGAATAGCTAACACAATATTAAAGGAGAACAAAGTTGAAGGACTGACACTACTCAATTTCAAGACTTACTGCAAAGTTACAGTAATCAAACACTGTGGTGTTAGTGAAAGAACAGACAAATAGACCAATGGGATAAATTAGAAGCCCAGAAACCATCTCATAAATATAGGTAACTGATCTTTGAGACAGAAGCAAAGGCAACACAATGGAACAGATAAGTCTCCTCAACAAAAGCAGCTAGAATACATCCACATGCAAAAAAAAAAAAACACGCACCTAGACACACATCTTATACCCTTCACAAAAGTTAACTCAAAACGGATCTTAAACGTAAAATGCAAAACTCTAAAAGTTCTAGAAGATAACATAGGAGAAAACCTACATGACTTTGGTTACACTGATGGTTTTTAGATTCAACATCAAATATATGATACATGAAAGAAATAATTGATAAACTTGACTTCATTAAAATTAAATATTCTGCTCTGTGAAAGATAATATCAAGAGAATTAGAAGATAAGATATAGATTGGGGAAAAAAGACACATCTGATGAAGGATTGTTATCCAAAACATACAAAGAATTCCTAACACTCAACAATTTAAAAAAACAAACAACTCAATTTAAAAATGAACCAAAGACCTTAACAGACACCTCAGATAAACAGATAGGATATAAATATATGAAAAGATTCTACTCATCATATGCCATCAGGGAAGTGCAAATTAAAACAATGAGATACCACTATAAGCCTATTTGTTATTGTTTAGTCCCTAAGTCATGTCTGACTCTTTTGTAACCCTATGGACTATAGCCCATCTGGCTCCTTTTGTCCATGGGATTTCCCAGGCAAGAAAATTGGGATGGGTCGCCATTTCCTTCTCCAGGGGATCTTCCTGACCCAGGGATCGAACTTATACCTCCTGCATTGGCAGGTCGATTCTTTACCACTGAGCCCCCAGGAGGCCCAGTATAAGCCTATTAGAATGGCCAAAACCTAAAATACTGACAATACCATATCTGGCAAGGATGTGGAACAACAAGAACCTTCATTCACTGCTGGTATAAATGCAAAAATGATTCAAACAGAAATGGCAACCCACTCCAATCTTCTTGCCTGGAAAATTCCATGGACAGAGGAGCCTGGCAGGCTACAGTCCATGGGGCCACAAAGAATTGGACACAACTAACCAACTTCATTTTCTTTCTTTCTTTACAAAACTAAATATACTCTTAGTACACAATCCACAAATCACACTCCTAGGTATTTACCCAAAAGAGTTAAAAGAAACTTGCACACAAATGTTTATAGCAGCTTTATTCATAACTGCCCAAACTTGGAAGCAACCAAGATCTCTGTCAATAGGTGAATGGACAAACAACCTGTGAAACATTCAGACAGTGAAATAATATTTAGCACTAAAAAGGGATAAGGTACTGAGCTATGAAAAGACATGGGGAAAACTTCAGTGCATATTATTAAAGAAGCCAAACTGAAAATGCTATATGCTGTATGATTCCAATGATATGACATTCTGGAAGAGGCAAAACTAAGGAGATACTAAAAGGATCATGGTTGCCAAAGGCAGGGGCAAAGACAGAAGAACAGGCAGAGCATAGAGGAGTTTTAGGGCAGTGAAGACATTCTGTATACTATTATAATGATGGATATCTGTCACTATGCATTTGTTCAAACCCATAGAATGTACAATATCAAGAGTGAACCCTAGGGAATTCCCTGATGGTCCAGTGGTTAAGAATCTACCTTCCAATGCAGGGGACATGGGTTCAATCTCTGCTTGGGGAACTAAGATCCCACTGCCACTGGAGAGAAGCCGCCACACCACAACGAAGACAGCACAGCCAAAAAAAAAAAGAGTGAGCCCATAGGAAAATTCTGGACTTTGGGTAATGACGATGCATCACTGTAGGCTAATCCTTGGTGAAAATCTTTACCATTCTAGGCAGTGATGTTGTTTGTGGAGTGGGTTATGTATGTATGGGGGTAGTGAGTACACGTGAAATCTCTGTATCTCCCTCTCAGTTTTGTTGTAAACCTAAAACTCCTCTTGAAAAATAGTTTTTAATAACATTCATGGGCTAAAGTCCCAAGAGTTCTTGGAGAGAAGAGCAAAAGTATCAACATGCTATCTTGACACATGAGGGTTGTAACAGCTAGATGAGGTTGCTCAGAGGTCTTTTTCTTTGATTCCCACTTTAAGTTATTAATGAAACTCCAACCTCCAAGTAAATATGCCATTGCCATCAATTGGCTTTGCCCCAACTATGCAGTTCCTAGTACTAAGCACATGTATCCTGGGTTGTCTACACTATTTGGTACTTTATTTCTTCGCTCACAATAATCCTTTTCTATGAATAAATTTCATCACTGAATTAGCAACAACATCAAACCTACAAAACACGTAAATCCAGAGCCAAAGCTTACAGGCTGGAAAAAATAAAGGTTCTCATGTGAACCGAGTATTGACTAAAAAAAATGAATGCCCAGCATTAAAAACACCTGCTTTGTTTGTGCACTTGGAACATCAATTTGTGTTGCTCTCTCAAAAGGCCTTCTAAGTGACCAGTAACAGCACAAGTGCACAGTGCAAGGTTGAGGGAAAGAATTTCACTGCAAACATAAGCAAACAGCAAATGTCACATGAATTACCAGTGTTCAGAGGAGAAATTCCACCTGTGTCTGTAAAGGTTGATATTCCTCTTCTGTTCTCAGGGTATGTTAAGAATTTAATGATTCATAGATTATAGCCTGCCATGGAGCCTTGGCCTTGAATTTTAGGATGTTTCACATGGACCAAAAAAAAAAAAAAATCTCTCCTTTTACTAAATAACTTCCAGTGACAATTATGTCTATAGGTTCCCTGCCTGGCAAGTGAGAGTTGCCCTCCACCCCACTCCCCCCCCCCAAAAAAAATCGGTCCAACTGGGAAAGAATATTTAAGAATAGTAGTGTTAGTCACTCTGTCGTGTTCGACTCTTTGCGATCCCATGGATTGTAACCCGCCAGGCTCCTCTGTCCATGGGATTCTCCAGGCAAAAATACTGGAGTGAGTTGCCATTCCCTTCTCCAGAGGATCTTCCTGACCCAGGGATCAAACCCAGGTCTCCTGCGTTGCAGGCAGATTTTTTACCATTTGAACTATAGGGAAGATCCTATATTTAAGAATATTTCTGTTTGTATCTTGGCAAGACGTGCCAAACGTAGTCAAGGTGGGTGATTGTTCAAAATGTCAAAGTTTTTGCAATTTGAATAATAGACCTGTTTATTAAACAACTAGCAGGGCTCACAAGTGAGGCTTCTTCAAATATGTGCCCAAAGGGTTCTGCGGAGCATCAGCAGTAATAAGCACACGAGGGGAGGGAATTGTAGACTCGCTAGGCTGAGTCACTATCACGTTTTTTTTTCTTTGTAACTTCCAAGGAGAACTGCATTTGTATTTCAAGGTTTCCATTTGGGTCAGCCGTGAACAAATAAGAATAGGGGAGGAAGAGACAGACAGGCCACCTGGAACGTGAGCTGGGAGCCTGATAAGAGTTTCTCCTGTTGAGCCATCTGGTGTGTCCTGGCACTTGTCATCCAAATTATTGTTCTCCTCAACAAATTTAGCTTCCCCCAGACAGTTCAGCTTAAATGAGCTCATACTGTCTATCTGACACTTGTCAAAAGAAGAGTGAAAGATTTCTCTAAGCCCTGATTGAAGGAGAGAGGGAGGCAGAGAGAGAGAGTAAGCAAGTCAGCAGGAGTGAGAAGAGGGCAAGGAAATGGGATAGGAGCAGAGCAGGAGAGCAGAAAAGGAGCTCTTCCTTGAAGAGCCAGAGCATTTTTATCTTCACCTATAAATCTCATGCTAGAAGGTGGGAAAAGAAGAAAAAGGGCCACTTCCAATCATATTTGTTAAGGCAAATATGATTGAACACACAAAATAGGAAAACAGTACAAACTACCATCACACTCATCTAGTGTCATTTTTCTTTCAGGGTCTGACTGTGGTGTGGGGTTTTGTTTTTAGTTATGAAAGAAGAGAAGGCAGTGGAGAAGTCTGATCTGCTCGGGACAGCATGGCCAGCGCTCCTTTCCATCCCAGCTGGAACAGAATTCAGTAGCAGGCAAGGGTAAGTGAAGGAGTGATTCATTACCTATTTCTTGATTTTGAGCTTTGCATATCTACAGATCTGCTTTTTTTTTTTTCCTCCCCAGGTCTTGGGGAGCTGCCAATATGTGCAAAAGGGATGATGGTAATGGACTGAAGCTGCCACAGGCAAAGCTCTGAAAGTGGAGATATAACCAGTTGCCAGGAGGGTACAGCTTGTGCCTCTGCCTTTTAGTCTGGCAGGTAACAGGGAATCTCATTTAGGAGCCACAAGAAGGTACTAAATAAAGAGAAGTAGGAGGGGCAAGAGGAAGCGCCTCACAGCAATAAGATCAAAGACGTCTTTCAAAATCTACCTTCCAAAGGGAAAAGGCCCAGGACTGCAGAAGCCTCTTCACTATTGTTAATGCTGGTGCTCGTACATTTGTTGGCAATTTGCCTCCTTTCATTCTCTCGACCCGATCTTCTCAACTGGAACACATCACTTGGTATCATTTCCACTTTTACCAAAGTGATCTTACAAAAACTCTTATCGATACATTACTTTCTCTATTTCCAGTTTGGTTACATCAGCACTGTCAGTTCTTAAGCTGGCAAACAGATGATCAAAGAAATTTTCTTCAAAATGTCCTAGGATACAATCTCGACCAAGTTACTCAAATGTAAAATGAGTCTCAAGTCCCCTGCAACCCAAGGGTTCAGCTGAGATTTAATATAAAGTACTAGAGTTGACTCATTGGAAAAGACTCTGATGCTGGGAGGGATTGGGGGCAGGAGGAGAAGGGGATGACAGAGGATGAGATGGCTGGATGGCATCCACGACTCAACAGGCATGAGTTTGAGTAAACTCCGGGAGTTGGTGATGGACAGGGAGGCCTGGCATGCTGCGATTCATGGGGTCGCAAAGAGTCGGACACAACTGAGCGACTGAACTGAACTGAACTGAACTCAATGCTTAAAAGCTGTTGAATATATGTTAGCTCATTTCCTTTCCCCACTTTGAATTAAGAGATTCCTAGGACTTATAGCAGAAAAATCCACATCAGTAATAGGCAGTATTTGGACATACATTCATGAACTTAAGTTTTTTCTCAGAGGAATAAATCCAGTTAAAAATCGGTATACTTTTACAATGCCTATTTGTGCTATTTATGAGCCTCAGAGTCCCTTGTAACAATTATTTCAAAGGAGCAGTATTTTAAATTCACCATGGTGTTATGGATACAGCTGATGCTAAGCAACATAAGGCACGTAAGCAATGAAGATCTATTTCACAGCTTCTTTCCTTAGCAAGGAAACAGATGAGATTTTGTCGGCCTCGCCTCCCTGGAGATTAAAAACCAAACCCCAGAGGAAGACCAGGTAGCTGACATAGTCTCTTCCCCCACGGAGGGAAGAAAACACAAAGTCCGTGGAAAGCTTACTTCCTCACCAGGTGAGTTTCCATTTTCTGTGACAGTGTTCCTGATATAGTGAACTTTGCTGAGAGTACTATCAAAATGGGCAAGGCAACCCTATTATGTGGCATTTTAGAAGCACACTGTGCATGCTAACTCTTAAAAATATCCATTGGGGTGGGGGGAGGAGTCCCACAGAGATTAAGTCAATGCATGTCTAAGTTAATTGACTCAAATCCTGGGAGGCTGCGTAGAGCTGATAGAGATCTACCCATGGAGACATGAGAGAAAAGAAACATGTGATCAGGAGCTAAAAGGCACATTTCCCTGTTCTACCATAGCTGAGTGACCTTCAGCCCCAAGGTCACTGCTCCTTATCTCTAAAATGAAGGGGTGATCTTCAGCCCCAAGGTCACTGCTCCTCATCTCTAAAATGAAGGGGTGACCTTCAGCCCCAAGGTCACTGTTCCTCATCTCTAAAATGAAGGGGTGACCTTCAGCCCCAAGGTCACTGCTCCTCATCTCTAAAATGAAGGGGTGACCTTCAGTGCCAAGGTCAGTACTCAACTCTAAAATGAAGGGGTGGAGTAGACATTCTCTCAGGGCTCATCCAGCTCTCATCCAGCTCTACCATTTTGAAATGTAGGTCCTAAAAGGGAAATGGAGTAGAAATAGGAAGAAGCTGCTTATAAAGAATTGCAAGTGCCAAGCCACCGAAAACTGAGAAGACCTCTAAAACACACACAGAAATGAGGAAGAGGAGGAGGAGGAAGGTGAGCATCGTGTTACCAGCTCTGTCTGTGGAGGCCTCACCAGGAGCCCAGCTCAGGTCCACGGACTTTACAGTATTAACTCTCCTAATGCACTCTGACTCCATTCTGTCATACCTCCCATCATGTTAGACAAAATCAGAATGAATCTAGATATTCTGAGGAAGTCGACTAGGGATCCATTTACAGGATTCACAGTCACAATCTCCACCTGGTATGAGAGAGGCTCCCAGGACTACTGGTGTCATAATACAAAGGGGCGGGGCCAGAGGTCACACAGTGCTGAGGCCGGATCCTGCCACACCTGGCGATGAAAGTGTGGAGTGAGTGGTAGAGGTTCAGAAGCTGGTCACTCAAAATTCCTTCCAGTTAGCAGGTGTGCAAAACTGCAGCTGAAGGGTTCCATTCCCATAGGCGCCTACGTAAAATGGAAAGTCTCACTTGTCAAGAGCAGGTTCTGTAATTCAGGGTATGCTATTATGAAAACACCTCCTAATTTTATATTTTAATTTTCTTTTTTGAGAAAGTCATGTAACATGCAATCTGTCAGAAACCCTATGTTCATAGGGCACAAGCCTATGGTTGTACTGCAAACAGTGCACTGATGAAGTCACACGTTTTATTTGCGTCAACAGATCAAATAGCGTGTTAGCATATATAACATCTCTGTTCTAACCAGTCTGGCAATAAATACCAGAAAAAAAGACATACAAAAGCCATGATTTACTGAGAGAAAGAGATGTGTTTCAAGTATTCATGATGAATAGTCTCTTAGATTATTTAATAATACAAATAATGAAAGATAAATCACCTGAGAAAAACATTGACATTTCTTATTGATCTGACACAAAATAGTGAAAAATATAAAGGTAACAGAAAGTCATAACATGTATCCAAAGACTGCTGTCAATTCATTGTCACTATACACAAGAGCATCTGTAATGTCCTTAAACTCACATGTGAAAATAACTTGATAGCAACTTTCTGAAATCTGACAGCCTTAAAATGCATATGATATTGCAAACAAAAATCTGTCAAGCTGAAATAAACTTTCCCAAACTATCACTAATAAAATCTAAATTTCAACTATGGTAAAGAAAAAACTGAATTTTATTTTTATTCTCTCTATAGAAAATATAAAGACCAATCAGACTATGCAAGAAAAAAAAAACAGAGGAAAAATATAGAAGCTTGACAGGTAGTTATTTTTTAAAAATATTATTTTTGAATTTTGTAATGTTTATAGTATTTGGCAGATTTCTTAAATTTGTAACTTGCTACAATTTGCTATTCTAAGTAAGTATTGATTTTATATCTAAATTTGTTTTTGTGATTTCGTATTCTATTTTGTAAAGAGACCCTCAAATTATATAAGTGCCTAGCCCTACAAAACTTGGGTCCTTCCTGGCCTGGAATATAAAAGACACCTGATGAATATTTATTGAATGAATCAAGTTGGTAAATGTCAAAAATTTAATTTTTTCTCCTAGATGTCAAATATTTAATTTTTAGAGGAGCAACCAGTGCAGAAATAGACATTCATTGAGCTATTAAACTATTACCCGCTGACTCATTGGCCAAGGTTGGTCACCCCTTCACAACCACCGATGACGTGGGGAAGATGCAGTGGGTGGATAATTTCCAGTTTTCTGTAGTCCACCACAGACACTGGGTAAACTCCTCCCAAACGGGCATTCGCACAGGCCTCTGCAAACCCACACTGAGACACATTTCTCCTGGAAAGAACTCTTTGGGAACACGCTCTTCAACATCAGCACCACACAGCAAAAAAGAGAAGAGAAAAGATTAAAACAAAACAAAACAAAACTCTGAAGAAGCTATCTCTGGATCTGAGATCTTTGCTTATTTTAATAATTAACAGCAATTATGGATGGGGTGAGGATTTTCACTCACATATGGTACACACTGGTAATGATAAACTCTAAAAATATTTCCAGAGCCATTACTCCTGAGTGCATGCTGTTAGTGACAAAGTTCAGAGGAAATGGGTGGTATTGATTACACCCTGCTAATTATCTGACTACCTCGGATAGTTTGGGTTCCTTTGGATTAAAAAAAAAAAAATGTGATTTCCTGTCAATGTTTCCAATATTCAAGCTTATCATAAAATATTAGCTTTGACACTTAAGGGCTTTGAAATTGTTGATGCTTTATCAACAAGAATGACAGTAATAAATTTTAATACATTCCTTTTTAAAAATCCATGAAGTGATAATCAGAAACAATAATAAGAGTGAAAGCTCTTCTTTACAAAAAAGTGCCAGCTAAAAAATGTACATAATAGGAATCACTGAATTAGGAATACATTTGTAACAGGCAATGTAATATCTGATGCATACAAGGATCATCAACACATGCTAAATTTTCATTGGATGAAATTTTAATGGAGAATATGAAATTCACAAAGTCTTAAAGCATCTCCCCATAATTACAATGTATTTATTTACCCTACAAAGGAGAACCTCTCTAACAAAGAAATCCAGAGATACTGCCTTAGACAAGTGATCAAACTTAGCCTCACTATTAAGGAAAACTGGTATTACTCATTTCCTTATATAATGCAATAGGAGGGACACAACATCATCCATTTAGAATTCTTGCCAAAAATATTTAACCTGAATTTAATAATAGGGAAATAACTAACTCCAAACTGAGAGACACTTTGCAAAACAATTGCCCTTATCCTCAAATATGTCAAAGTATTAAAATATTAAAAAGACTAGGGAACAATTCCAGATTTAAGGAGACTAAAGATACATGAACCTTACATGTAATGTCATATCCTTTATTGGGTTCTAGAACTTTTTAGAAAGCAGGGACATTAATTATTGAGAGTTGGGGATAACCGGAGATCTGAATGTCAATGGAATTTACATTATATAACATTTATACAACTATGTTAAATTTCCTAATTTAACATACTAATTTAACAATACTGCCTTATGTTAGAGAAGGTCCTTGATCTCAAGAAGTACACGCTCATATACTTATGATTTAAATACTCTGTGGCTGTACCTACCTCATTTTAAATTGATTAAAAGGTGAAAGAGAACAAATGTGGTAAAAATTAAATAAAGAATGTAGGTGAAGGGTCTATGAGTGGACACAGAAAGCAACTAAAAAACTTGATAAGTTAAAATCCATCAACATTTAAAACTTCTCATCAAGAGGCACTGTTTAAGATAAAAACAAAACTATAGGTAAGACACCAACCGAGAGAAAATATTTGCAAAACACATATCTGATAGTGGACTTTCATCTAGGATATATAGAGAATTCCTATTACTGAATAATTTAAAAATGACCCAATTATAAAATAGAGAAAAGACTTGAGCAGACTATTCACAAAGGAAGATTTGGAAATGGCCAACCAATATGTGAATGTGTGCTCAACACCATTAGTTATCAGGGAAAATGGCTAAAACTAAACAGAATGAAAACACCATTTTTCAGTGAGAAAGTGGAGTAGGCTGAACTCTTACAAGTGGCAGGTAGCAACGCGACACAGGTACCATCTCTTCAGGAAAAAGTCCAGCAATTTCTTACAAAGGGTATATGAGTCATCTAATAGTCTTTCAATTTTACCACAGACTGATATTTTACCAAAAAACAAAGTTGGGGAAAAACATCTATGATGCTTTGGAATGTGGCTTCAGAAAATAGACATGAGTCAGTATATATCCATTTATAGTTGGTTCTCCATTCTTTTAATCTTAGATAATTTTTAATAGTAACTGTGAAAAAGTGAAACTGTTAGTCACTTAGTTGTGTCCGACTCTTTGCAACCCTATGGACTATAGCCCACCAGGCTCCTCTGTCCTGACACAGATTCCTGTGTCCTGAGAATCCATGGGATTCTCCAAGCAAGAATACTGGAGTGGGTTGCCATTCCCTTCTCAGGGGATCGTCCCGACTCAGGGATTGAACCCGGGTCTCCCACATTGTAGGCAGATTCTTTATCATCTGAGCCTCCAAAGAAGTCCAAAAGACCTACCCCAGGAGCCGGTTCCACTGCAGATGGATCCCAGGACCTTCTGTGTAAAGAGCAGGTGTGCTAACCACAACCTGAATCAATAAATAGTTCTTGAGTAACTGTCATGTGCCAATACTGTGTACTGACAGTACAATGATATACAAGAAAGATGTAGTCCTGTCCTTGTGGAGTTTATATTCTCATGGAGAAACACACACTGAACAAGTAGAGACAGACAGAGAGAATTGCCAAGCTGATCAGGGGTCTGGTCCCTGGCCACTGATAGGACTCGCTTTATCGCTGGTCTGGCCACTGATCACCAGTCTGAGTTACGGTATCTTTGGCACTATGTGCGGGGATGGTGTGGAGCACTGAAAGTCAGGTCAGAGGGGGTGAGGAGAGAACAGAGTTTTAAGCCAAAGGCTGAGGGAGACTACAAGAGTGGGCTCCTGAAATCAGGAGATAAACAGAACCAAGGTCTTCGGTGCCTAAACCAAGGAGAGTTCTGGAGTTGCTGCTTTTTAAGGTGTTTCCGTTCATATCAACCCACCTACTTCATTCTGTCCTCATCCGAGGAAGATAATGATGATGATGATAACCATGACAAAGATAAGATGTCAGGTACAAAATTCACTAATTGCTTCTCATGTGTCAAAGTCTCTATATTGAATGCTTGATCCAATACAGTTCTCTTAACAACTCTATAAGATAAAGAGTATTCTCACCATGTTACAGATGAGCAGAGAGGTTCTCACATTAAACCATGTATGTAAATTCACACAACCTCTAAGTGGCTAAACATGCATTTGAATCTAGGTCTGTCTGATCCCAAATCCCACTCTCTGTATTGTTACTTTGTTCAACTCCAGTCCTTGTGGTGGGCTTCCTTGGTGGCACTAGTGGTAAAGAACCCATCTACCAATGTAGGAGACATAAGAGATGCGGGTTCGATCCCTGGGTGGGGAAGATCCCCTGGAGGAGGAAATGGCAACCCACTCCAGTATTCTTGCCTGGGAAGTCCCATGGACAGAGGAGCCTGGTGGGCTATAGTTCATCAGACTATATTGGCAAAAAGTTGGACATGGCCGAAGTGACCTAACACCCACATACAGTCCTCCGGGTAGTACCTTCTGATCAATACTTTCTCCAGGGGGCTAGAGATGCCAAAGGGTCCTTTGGATTCAAGAGGACTTTTGGAACAGTCTTCAGCTTTGATGTGAGAAAGGGAACAAAAGGGCAGGCAATAGTAAAAAGCAGACTTGAGGCTACTGGGGATTATTTTGGTTCATATGCTACACTGGACATTTTTCAAAGGACGCTGTATAAGCAAACAACACTGTCATAATCCTGAAACCTGAATTCAAAATGCATTAATTTCTTTTTACCACTAAGGATTTGGAGAAACATGCCATAGTGATACGGTTCTTAAGCTTATGCTTTCGGTAATCAGAAAGCTGGAAAATAGAAGATGAACATTTACAAATATTTTAAAATTACGAATGCAAAATATCAGCCAAGAATAAATCTTTATATCAAGGTTACAAGCAGATGAAAAATGACAGTCCGTACTGGGAATGCAAACAGACCATTAATTATAGCAGCCTCACAAAGCACCCAAGTAATAGCAGTTTGCAATTCTTTACCAAAATTTACATAACTGTATAGTCTCCTTTCAGATTCTAGAGATTCTATTTTTGATAAGTAGCAATTCAGAAGGTTAGCTACCTCATCTCTATTATTATTCCACTTTTATGAATATGAAATGGTGACACCTTGAATCTACATGTTAGCAAACCTAATAGACTGCCTCTAATGCTTTTTATTCATTCATTTCGGCAATATTGTGTGCCAGGCAGTGTGCCCAGCCCTGGAGACACTGAGATGAATAAGACACAGAGTGTGTCCCCAGCAGAACTTCCAATCCAGAAAGAGAAACAGACTAGTAAACACACAACCCTAACAGAGTTTGAACAAACTAAACAGATTGAGATCAAAATGGCAATACAATGTTAGGCGTTGTCTCCCAACCAGACAGCAGCAATTACAACAGTGATATTAAGTAAATTAAGTTCTCTCTCTCTTCCCTCCCTCTTTCCTACCTGTCTTCCTTCCTTCCTTCTCTTCTCTTTCTTTTTCCTTCCCTCCCTCTCTCCATGTTTCCCTCCCTTCCTTTTTTATTCAGTGAGTATATCCATTCATTACTTAGCAAAATTATATAATAATAGTACATTACATGTATGCAAAACTTACTTTGTGTCAGGCAATAATAGAATTTCATTTAAACCTCACAAAATTCTTGGAAGAAGGTACAATTTTCCCCTTTATACAGATGAAACTGAGGTTCAGAGAGTTACCCAGTATGCCAAGGTCACACCCTGTCAAGAGACTGAATAAAGACCCAGGCACTGTGACTCCAGAACTGGGGCTGGAGTACTCTAGAGAATACACTGTCTGAGTCTACCTGTTACCAGATAATAGGCCTGCCTGTCACACTACCTGAAGCAGTAATAAGAACTCAGTGATTAAAGGACATTTTGGAATTTCTAACAAAGGTTTTCTAAACAAAGGATCTGCCTTTCAAAAATCAGAGAGACATGAAAAAAAATGGATGATGAGAAGAAAAAAAATGCAGTGTTCAGTGTGGGCCTTCTCTGGTTTCCCCCTTGGGAGCACTGCGGCCCTCCACCTGCATTCTGCTTGATTACCGTGCATCTGTTAGGGGCCTCAGAGTGAACCGAGCAAAAACAAAAGCAGGAAGAAAAAGTGCCTACTAATCGAGGTTGGTCCAGTTGTACCATTTGAGTCAGGGTGATACTCTCTTTATTTTGTAATCACCAGTGGCACATATGCCCCCTAAGTTGCAAAAATATTTCAAAACAACTTAAATCAAGCTTGATAGTTAATTATGCTGAGGTCATGCCAAAGAAGCAAACCACCAGGACATCAAATATCCAAGACAGTCTAAGTGCAAAGTAGCAGCATTAATTTTTCTCCCATTAAAAAACAAAGGGAGGGGGACAAGCTTCTTTACTCTCTTGAGGATAAACTGGCTTTTAATAATCATCTGAAATAGACCTCTTAAGACATATCACCTCTGCTCTGAATGTTTGAAACTGGTCCTCTGATTACAAAAATGTTCATGTTAAATCTCATCAAGATGCTTTCTTAAGATGAAGAATGTTTTATAAATTGTAAAGGTTTTAATCAGAACCCTCTTTGAAGCTATTAAATGCTTCAATGTAGCCCGACCATTGCTTCAATTATGCCACTTATCGACTCTGTATTAATTAAGTATCATTATAGGCACTGATTTATATCCTTCCTCACAGCTCTCTCGCCAGATGGTCCAACATTCTCTCTCTCTGACACTCTATAAACATCACCTGGATTCACTCATATTTCTCTCCAGCTGAATGTTTAATCAGCTCTTAGTCATCTTCAAATTGGATTGCTTCTCTTCTTCCTCCTCTTCACTATACTCTATCAATACAGTACACAAATGCCAAGTGATATAAAACATAAACCAGTGGTAGTTACAAAGCCAAGTTCTATTATCAGCTCATTCGCACCTCAATGAATTCTTCCCCAGTATGATGATACACTTCTCACAATAAAGTGAAAGGAGAGACTTTTTGCTTCCTTAGCTGATTAAAACTTACAGTCTGTGTTCAATTATCTGGGGCAATGGAGAAAATAACTAGGAAAAAAAAATGTATATCTGGCAATGGGAGTACAATAGACGATTTGGCCTCAGCAGAGTTCCTTTCTCAATTATATTTTGCTTGGTCTAACATAAAAATTATTTTGCATTCTTGAGCTCACACATTGAGAGAGCAGGAGGCAGAAGTCCCAAGGTATACCGCACTGCAAGGAAGCCAGCCTAGAATTTTAAACTGCCCTGGGTGATCCAAAAAGTAGATAATAGAGAAATGGAAATGCTTAACTGTTTTTCTTACAAAATATAAAAAGCAGATTAATGGGACAATCTCACAGCCACTTCAAGTTCAAAAGGTCTAAAAACCATTGGTTGTGGTGCCTCTCTATGGTCCCGTCTCTTATCATTCTTCAGTCCCCAAGCTGGGCGAAGGGAAACGGAAACCGAGGCAGACCAGAGAAGGCACAGGACATTAACCAAAAGGACTTGGTGCTAACCCACGAGGCTGCAGTTTACCTTACAAAAATACAAGATGTCTCCTCCATGAACCCCTATTTTTACATAAAACTCATGACTTTAAAATACTGGGCTGGATTGAATGCAGATTCAACCTTTGGTTTTCAATCCTTGACGTACTGTTGACTTTGACTCCTCGTCTTTCCTCCTTTCAAATGAAACCGGTCCTTAAGTTTTGATATTTTTTCATTACCTTTTTGTATGATCAGGCCACTCAAGATGGCTGTTCTCTTGCTCTCAGTACATCCCCTGCTCAACCAGTCCCTGCTTCACCAACATGCACCCTCATGACTATCTAATTCTCTTAATCGTAAGGCTTAATCGGAGTCGTGCTTGCCTACGTTTGCCTCCTGCCCCACTGATGGTTTCTCCGATAACCGATGAGCCAACCTGACGTCCCTTCCCCCACCCTCCTCTACCCCAAGAAGCAAACACTGCTGCCACACCCTGCCTGCTATCTGCCATGCACAGTGGGGTGTCACTCCAGGACTCTGCTTCCGAGTCGTAAAATCTTCTACCCAATAAACTGCTGATGGCTGCTGCCCTCTCGGGGCTCTTGCTTCAATCTCACGGTTGGGCAGTTACACAGCCTGCCGGGCACAGCCCAACACCCTTCTGCTGTCTCTTCCTCTCCACTCCCACCAGCCATGTCCTCATTACTTCACATCTGCATTAGGAGATCAGTGTCCTTACGTTCACAAAGCACATCATCTATGCTCACCAAATTGATCTAAACAGTAGTTCCCAAACTTTAACATACCTCAGAATCACCTGGAGGGCTGTTTAAACCACATACCGCACCCCCCAAGCATGTTTTAATTTAATGGGTCTCAAGTGGAGCCTAACAATTTGCATATCAATAGCTCCCAGGTGAGGCTGATGATGCAGAGAAGGGGAGGACAGAAGATGAGATGGTTGGATGGCATCACAGACACGATGGACATGAGTTTGAGTAAACTCTGGGAGTTGGTGATGGACAGGGAGGCCTGGCGTGCTGCAGTCCATGGGGTCGCAAAGAGTAGGACATGACTGAGCAACTGAACTGAGGTTGATGAGGTTCCAGNCTCTGGGAGTTGGTGATGGACAGGGAGGCCTGGCGTGCTGCAGTCCATGGGGTCGCAAAGAGTAGGACATGACTGAGCAACTGAACTGAGGTTGATGAGGTTCCAGGGACCACACTTAGAGAAACAGTGCTCTAAAATGTCACCTCCAACTTTAACACAATCAATGATTCCCCATTTCCTCCACCTTAAACTTAAAACTCCTTAACCTGGTACTTTGGATTCTTCATAAAGCTGGTCTCTTCCTCTCACCTCAAAATAATATTTCTCTGATCTCCCATGAAAGCCTGTTCCAGTCCAACTGGTCTACTTAGATATTACGCAATACATCAAGCAGTCCCACTTTCTTGCCTTGATCATGTATAGAAAGTCTCTCCAGCTCCAATCTCTTGTTCAAGTTCAACCTTTTCACTGAGTACCCAAAACCCACATTCTTAATGCAGCCAGCCCCCATCAAACCGCTGCTACCTCTTCTAGACTTCTAGAGCATTAGCTCTCCAAGTTTCTGGTTGAATCTAAAGTGCATGGACTTTAAAGTCAGAGCCTCTCTGAGTATGACTCCTGGTTCTTTCATTAGCAGTGTAATTTGACTAGTTATATAGCCCTTCTGAACCTGTTTCTCCCTCCATAAAGGAGCAATAATAATATCTATTTCCACAGGTTGTGTAAAGAATTAATCAAAACAAAAATTTTAAGCCTTCTAAGAAGTATAACCAAAATATGCTTAATAAATGTCAATTTCTTATCTTGGTCCCTTCTCCCAATCATGCATTTAGCACTAAATATAAAATATATTATACTAATCATACATTTTAAGCTAACTCTCCTCTCTTTTAGCCAGATAGAATATTTCTGAGGAACCAAAAACATGTCTAATTCATCTTAGCAACCCCAGTGCCTGACAACTTCTGAGCAACAGGTAAACTCTCAATAAACATTTACTAAAAAATATGATTAATTTGAGGAATAACATAAGGCAAGTGGTTTCATAGAGCAGATCTTCTCTGCAGAGCTTAAATCTCTTACAATCACTTTCATCCTAAAATATCTTCCTATGACAAGGCAAACTGTATTTTACACACAGGAAAACTAAAATAGATCTAATGAGAATCCCTATTAGATAGTCCCCACTTGATACTTAATACTGAACAAGAGAAAAGTCATTATAAAAGCATCAATGAAGGAAAAATCTTCTCTTTGAAGTCAATTTGAACACAAAAACACTAATAATGGGAACACAGAGAAATAATGACAAAAAGCCCACAGATAATGCTGTAACAAGTAATGGGCTGCCTTTCGAGGACCTCTTTCATGTAACCACGTGACCGTTGTACTTCCAAAACGGCTGACACATATTGCTAACTCTACTGACAGATGTCAAGTCAAGATGTTGGTAAAACACATTGCCTGTCCTTTAGGAGATTCTCTAATTTTTAAATCAAGCAGAAACAAATTACAGCTTCTATTCTGTTCTCCAGAGTTGCTGACTTCTACACTATTCCTAAACAGAATCCAGTATAACCCACTGGCATAGAGCTAAGGGTGACAGAAAAAAGATATAACCTGGCATATTGGCATCTGGATATTTTCCTCCAAATACAGAGCAAAGTGCCATAAAAGTTCAAGTTATTTTAAATTCACTATACAGAGGCTACACAGTTTGATCCCTGGTTTGTTGTAAGAGCAATCTGCCATAACTGATCACATAAACTCAGACAAGTTGATTCCTCCAATAGTCATTTCCTGAGTGGCCACTATGTATCAAATATTATACAAGATGATGGGGATACCAAGGTAAAGTGTTTAATCCATGTTATCCTGGAACTTACAGTCTACTGTAGAGTCAGACAGTTGGAGAAGACTGTATAGTTGTTCACCAAACTTGTCTTCCTTTCATGGTGAGCATGAAAACAAACCAAATTTCCCAGCCTCCATATAACTGCATTGTGGACATAGAATGTGAGTAATGAGGTGTGTCATACCCAGGCCTGACCACAGAAAGCCTCGCCTTTGATTATTGACTTTCTCTCTCCATATCCTTATTTGCCAGTTGGATGCAAGGGACCCTGACGAGGACTCTAATTTCTTAGAGGTGATGGAGCCACAAGATGGAAAGGAGCAAAAGGCCACCTGCTGAACACTCTCTTGGAACTATTATGTGAACAAGAAAGAAATTCCTATTGTGTTAAGTGGCTAAATTGTTTGTTACAAAAACACTTGAAGTGAAAGTGAACGTTGCTTAGTTGTATCCGACTCTTTGCCATCCCATGGACTATACAGTCCATGGAATTCTCCAGGCCAGAATACTGGAGTGGGTAGCCTTTCCCTTCTCCAGGGGATTTTCCCAACCCAGGGATCAAACCCAGGTCTCCTGCATTGCAGGTGGATTCTTTACCAGCTAAGCCACAAGGGAAGCCCAAGAATACTGGAGTGGGTAGCCTATCCCTTCTCCAGGGGATCTTTCCAACCCAGGAATAGAACTGGGGACTCCTGGATTGCAGGCTGATTCTTTACCAACTGAACTATCAGGGAAGCCTTACAATACTTGATCTACCATACCAAAGCATGAACTCAAACTACCTCCAAGATAATATGATACAGAGTATGCATAGCTTGAAATGGGATACCCAAAAGAGGCAGCTCACCTGAGCTGAAGCAGGATACGGGGAAGGGCTCCTCAGAAGTGCTTAAAATGAATCTTGAAGGACAGTATGAGATAGTGAGAAAGGGAATAGAAGGTTGCAGAGGAGAAAGCATTTGCAAAGTCATGAAACTTTGAGGAAATGGGCTGCATTGGGGAAGTCTTAGTGATTCCTGCCAGTATGTATTTGCTAAAATGACAAAGAGCAGAACCTAGGAGATGTAGTAGCTACTAGAGACGATGGATAAGGGAAGAGGAAAAAATAATCAAGAACCACCTAATTTTAGAAGGCAGAAGAGATGGCATCAAGATAGAAAATGCAGGAGAAAAATGTGAAAGAAGGAGTTCAATTTTGAAAAAGAAAGAAACTGAGATAGCTATGGAACCCCCAAAAGACAAATCGGCAGGTGGCTGGACGTGTGGCCCTAGGGTTCAGGCAGCAGCAAGGACAGGGGAGGCGAGTTTGGGAAGGGCCGCTGCACAGGTGCCGGCTGAAGCCAGAGGCAGGGTGGGACGGCTCAGGTAGAATACTCACAGCGAGAAGCCAGAGAAACAGGGAAGGAAAGAGGAAGTGGGAAAGAGGGAAGGGGCAAGAAAAAGAATGTGAGAAAGAAGCCACAGATGCCAAAGATTGTGGAAAAACGCTTCAGAGTGGTGAAATAAGAGGACAGCCTGAAAAATGTCCACTATATTCAATTAGGCAGCTATTTGTGACCTTAGCAAGTTCCATTTCAGTATCAGGAAGAGCTAAGTTAAGATGGCCTGGAGAGTGAATGAGGGATAAAGAATTACAGACTGGAATACAGAATACTCTTTAAAGAAAACTGGTTTCTAAAAAACAATTAGCCCCAAGTGGAGAGAGAGAGAGTTTGTTTCACTTGGATTTTCATTTTTCAAGAAGCAAGACTTAAACATGTTAACATGTTGAATTCTCTGAGCTTTTATTTCTCTGTAAAATGGGGGTAATAAGGCCTCTTCTTCTTGGTCCATTGGATTGTTGTCAGAACAAATAAGATGAAAGATGACATATGTGAAAGTCTAAAGTTCTACATAAATAGCAATGTTTTGTATTTATAAATGTTGAATATATAGAGTTATAAAAGTTAAGAGGCCATTGAAATATGGCTGGCTATAAAATTAATGAAAAATTATAATCAGTCTAGATCTAGAAATATTAAGCAAAATGGCTTTTGAACACACACTACATGTTGGCAACCACAAATCTTAGAGGTTAATGACACAGGCTAATTTTGCTGGACAAATTTCTTCTGGTGCATCTAGGTTACAGCCTGAGTTTCCAGATGTCTTTGTTATACCAGGGGGAAAAAAAGGCCAGTGAACCCGAGCAAATTGCTGTGCATTAAATCATCTGGGAATTTTTCAGTCTTATGAGTAGTAGTTTTTAAATAAATGTTTCTGGCATTTACCCAGTTTCGCAAAGCAACAGACTAGCCCCATAATTTAGGTCTCAGGACCAGTGAAACCATGGTGAATGGCCACAGGCTGCTGAGTATGTTATTTTAAGGAGTGACTGAAGTATTCTGGGAAGTGAGCTAGCCATCTCAGGACTTCCTGCTTGGGAAGACTAACCATCTGAAAGAATATGGCCCAATCATTATTTCACTAGTCACCAAACTTTTAAGGACTCTACAAAGAGCATTATTTTAAGCACTATGACATCACTGTAACTAGGTTTTCCCTCTTAAAACTTGTAACAAGTGGTTTTAGCATGCCCCAACTTCCTCCCTGGGAAGATATCTTATCCCTGTAAAAGAAAAATGTCCCTTTCCTTTTCTGTGCGCTTTTGAACAACTCCTCTGACTGGGCTCTGATGTCTCAGTTATTTTCAAGGACATAGGGTGCTAATTAATTGAGGTCAAGCAGCTGTGACTTCAGCGCCAAAGAACAATTGTGCAGAATACAGAAGTCTTCCTTTACAAAAGATACTAAGGATCTAGTCTTGAGACCCAAATAAACCCTATTTGCAATTACTTTTGCATGTTTCTTTTATCTTAAACAGACCGAGCTACAAGGCTAAAATGGTGTTTCTTTTATCCATGTTTCTCAAATATTTTATCCTTGATATGTGACACTACCATATGTAGCTATTAAATTGGCCCAATGTCTCCAGGTCAGTTTTTAGAACTTTTATCCACTTCAATGCCAAATTTCCTCCCAGGGCTGAGGGTCAATAAAGTGCTTTGCAAATACCTCAATCAGAAATACAGAGAAAAAGACAAAGCTTCCATTGCCCTCAAAATAGACCTTTATAGAAAATTGAGTATCTTTCATAAGTTTACCTCAATCTTAAAATAATTTTGTGAAAGTATTGTCATTAATTATCACCAACTAATAGAGTAGAATCCTGAGGGCCAAAGAGTTTTAAGAATATTCCAAGGTGGTATGAGATTAATAGGTATAAACTACTATGCATAAAATAGAGAAGGAACAAGAATATATTGTATAGCACAGGGAATTATAGGCATTATCTTGTAATAACTTATGAAGTGTGATCTGCAAAAACACTGACTCATTTTGCTGTACGTCCAAAACTAATAAATACTATAAGTCAACTATACTTCAATTAAAAAAAGAACATTCCCAAGGCCTCTTAGCTCTTTAGAAGCAGAAGCAGGTCTATACCCAAGGTCCTCGGCTGCCTCAACACTCTCCACTACACCATAGATGGCCCCATCACGTTACCCACTTATTTGTGTTTCACTTCTCTAGCAACAATGGAAAAAAGCCTGGCTTCCTCTGAAGTCATTAGGAATCTCTGATGAAATGCAGACGTGAATTCAGTTCTCCCTCCAATGAAAATACATAAAACATACTGGTTATATAAGGAATGTTATGGGATCATCATGGATGTGGAAAACTTTTTAAAGGAACGCACAAATGATGCTTGGAATCCTGAAAAGGCCAAAGAAGATATTACAAACAAATGACCAAATGTGCAATGGGGAAAAATTCCATGAACAATCAGTATTTTCACTTGACTAGTTTGTTTTTATTTTGTAAGGGCTTCTCTTTGATGGAATACCCTGGTTTTTTAAAGCATTTCTAATGAACTCAATGACCAACCTGTAGATGGAGAAGGAAGCCACGGATCGAATGAGGGATGCCAAAGCCCCAACTTTGGCTGCTTCCACCGCCCCCTCCACGCGGTACTGCACTGCTGCAGAGTAGTTGGTATAAGGTTGATTGTAAACGACGATCTTCCCTTTTGCGTCTGGCCCTCTTCTCTGCAGTTCATCGAAAGAGGTCACCACTAGAACTTCCGCAGTAATGCCTACAAATAAAAGTCATGCAAGATTAACGCATGGTTTCCGATCAGCCAGGTTGAATTGGCACACAAAAGGTCACACATGCTCTATCCACTACATCTGGCAAACCGGTTTGCAAAGATCAAAGTTTCAGAGCCATTTGCTATGGGAGAAAGACTGTGGGGGTTAGCCAGTTTCCCAAGAAAGAGAAAAGGCATTCAAAACATTTAATATACGACTCATTAGGTTTTTCAACTCGCTTGACCAGCTGCTATTAAATCACAAATTGCTTGCAAAGATGTCTTTTTTTGTCTCTTTCCCACCCTAACAGGTCATGAGTTTCACAAAATGACACTAATTATTTACTTAAAAAACACATTTTAGAAAGCTCCCCTTGGGATTAGTGAAACACATTTATCTTTTCATAAAACTATTTTGATATGTGGCTAAACAACGTTCATTGACATCATACAAAGGATGGCAGTTTATACAAAAAATATTCTTAGGAGCCAATGATTTTCATACTTCCAAGTTTTAACAAATAGTTAATGTAACTTCTCCCAAGAGTCACAAAAAGTCAGCTTATTTTCTTTCCTTCTTTGTACTGAATCCTTTTAAAGAATGTGAAAACTGCCCATGTCTCGATTTATAGGACTTGTTCATTACCAAACATATCACTATTCTTCACCTAAAAACTCTGAAGATGCTATATAACTGTTCTATAATCCTCTTGTCTCATTTAGAAAGATGTGACATATTTTTTCACACCACAAGTCTTGCCCAAATCTTCCTGATTAGGACAGGGTTTCACAGCTTCTGAGAAGTCATTCAAAAACTGCCAGACCACTGAGGATTCAATTTGATGGCACAGTTACAGTGACAAGAAAAAAAATATTTAGCAACAAAGGCCAGATGCAGTAGCTAAATATAACGATCTAAAGTAAAGAGGCAGGCGCCTACTGTTTTATAGCTTTAGCCAGGCAGTCATGAAATATGGCAGTAAAAAACCCAAGTATCAACATGGATTTGGCATATTTCTTTAATCTTGCAAACTAGAGAATCAAGTTCTTCTGGAAGCTTAACATGTCATTAAAATAGTAACTGTTACTTGGAAAATCCTTCTTAAATGCACTGCAGGTATGAGAGAATTCTTGCTTTCAACATGGGCCCCACCACAATGGACCCTTTGAGCTGGCTGCTCTCCGCTTCTGGTTCCACCATCAGACTGAATCTGTACTATCACTTTAAAGTGATTGACTACAGATCTATAAGTATGTCTCCACCAACACTCAGAACTCAGAACTTAGTTCATAATCTAAGGAAAGCAATGTACAATTATGAAAAGTAAGGAAGCCACTAGCTTTTTCACATGATAAATATGTTTAAGAATACAAATAAAAGCTTGGCTAGACGGAGTTTCAGATTCATAACTTTTTGAAACCTGGAGTTACCTTGAAATTTGACTGGTGTTATTGTTGGCATGTCCCAGGAATTTTGTTGATGCTTTTCAGCTGTTCCTAATGAATAACAGATTCGATGGTCCACCCAAGGGGTGTCCCAGAAATGGGGTAATTTGGGCATCTGGATTGGAGCCACTAGAAATGAAGCCACGTTTCTATAAATTTTCATTGGCCACTGCAAAATTAAAATCATACAAGGGGAGTGCTTCACTAGGGTCTATAGTTAAGTTCTTTTAACAAATGTGAGTGACAGAGTTCTAATGAGCCAAAATCTAACCTAGACATCAGTTGCCAATGCAGGACACTAGAAGCAGCTATAGGTCAAAATCTACCACCAAGAACTTGTAAGAAGTCTTCAAATTAATCTGTTTTCCTGAAAGCTTAGGGTCATCTCTGATTCCTCTGTCTCCTTCATCCTCTAGGTCCCATCAGTCCTCAAATACTGAGACTCTTACTCCTTAAGTATTAACTGAAAGCAGGTCCTCTGCTCTGCCACATTACACCTCTCACATCAGGCTCTGGTGTCCTTCTGTTTGGACCATGAGTCCCTCCTCCTTCACCTCACCACCACTACTGTCCCAGCCTCCAGCCCAGCTCCCTCAAATTTAACTTCTGCAGAGCTGCCAGAGTGAAGGACTCGAACTGCTGAAAAGTCACAGCAGCCTGTGTTACCATCTCCCTGCCCCCTGCCCCTTCTGCCGATTACCGGTCACTTCAACGTAACAGTCAAAGCCTGTCTATCTCTATAGACACGGGTTCCCTTTTATTTTAAATTCGGTCAATGCTAAAGTTAAAAGTTCCCACTCTCACCACAGAAGTTCACTTCTCAGGGTCTTTGTTCACAGTGTGGTACATATGTCTTGTTGATCCCGCTCTCCCAACTTTGTCGTGTGACTAACACCTATTTATCCCTCAGATGCTATTTAAGAATCACTCCCTCAAACTCTCTTCAATATTTTGCAACAACCTATATCGGGAAAGAATCTAAGAAAGAGTAGATATATGAATATGTATGACTGATTTACTTTACCATACACCTGATTCTAGCACATTGTATATCAACTATTCAGTTCAGTTCAGATCAGTCACTCAGTCTTGTCCGACTCTTTGCGCCCCCATGGACTGCAGCACGCCAGGCCTCCCTGTCCATGACCAACTGCCGGAGTTTACTCAAACTCATGTCCATTGAGTCGGTGATGCCATCCAACCATCTCATCCTCTGTCAACTATACTCCAATAAAAATAAACTTTAAATAAGAAATAGAAAAAAAAAGAACCATTACTCTAGGGGAGCATTCTCAAGGCCTCTGGCCTCTTTGTTCCATCCCTCTCCCGCTACCTCCAGGAAGGCTGGTTAGTGCACCACTCAACTCTTGACTTTCAGAGTCTCCAGGGCATACCCAGGCGCTAGACAATGTTGTTCTTTAGTCGCTCAGTCGTGCCTGACTCTTCACAACCCCATGGACTGTAGCCCTCCAGGCTCCTCTGTCCACGGGATTTCCCAGGCAAGAATACTGGAGTGGGTTGCCATTTCCTTCTCCGGGGGATCTTCTCAGCTCAGGGATCAAACCCAGGTCTCCTGCATCATCAGGCAGATTTTTTACCACTGAGCCACCAGGAATGCCTAAGAGACAATGAAACTTTGCTTATTTGTGATTGACAATAAATACCACCTAAACTGGGAACTCTTCAGGATCTGGGGCCGTATGTACTTTGGTTTGTATCTCCTTGGCCTAACATAGTGCTCAGTGTGTGTGTAGGCAGCCAGTCAATAAGCTTTCCTCAAATGGCACTGCTCCAAATAAGGGGCCATTGACTGGATCTAAAGCATTTCCATAGAAGTGCAATTTTATCTTTAAAGTTTGAGAGCACTTCTCCCACAATAACTCAGCAGTCTGACTCTGACCACCCGGAGCACAGCTGCACAACAATAACCAAGCAAAAAAGGCCTTGGGGCAGTCAGAACAGAAATATAAATCCCAAGTATAAAAACTCAGGCACTTGAACATAAGGAAACTCTTCTGCTCTCAAAGCCTAGTTACCCTTATTTATATAAAATTCTAAATCTAGCGCTTAAACCTATGAACTATGAGAAACAATAAATCAGAAAGAAGAGATAAGTTTGGAAGCTGATAGCAGTAACCACAGGGGAAAAAAAAAAGCAACGTCAGAGACAGGAACATGAAACATAATGAATATGCACTTACTGACATTTTTGCAGCATCAGAAATGTTCTGTGTCTGGGCTAACACAGTGGCCATTAGACACGTGGCTACCAGCACATTATTTATGTATTTACTTGGCTGCACCAGGTCTTAGCTGTGGCATGCAGGATTTTTTATCTACATTTTGACATGCAGGCTTTAGTTGCAGCATAGGAACTCTTCGCTGTGGTATGTGTGATCTAGTTCCCCAACCAGGGATCAAATCCGGCCCTCTGCATTGGGAGTGCAGAGTCTTAGCCACTGGACTACCAGCGGGGTCCCCCTGAACACTTTAAATGTGACTAATGTGACTCAGAAACTCAATTTTTAATGCCATTTCTTTTAATCAACTTATATTCAAATTTAGATAGCCACATGTAAATAGTGGCTACTGTATAGAATGCATAATCACCGCAGGCTCAGCTATTATGTAGTCAGATGGCCAAAAGCATCTCTGTTGGCCCCGGGGGCCTTGCTTCAGGACAGGTCAGGAACAGACGTGGCCATCACGGCAGGGCCTCCTGCAGCAGCCTGTATTCAGTACTCACTGTTTGGGAAGTCAGGGTATGTACAAAAATACTTAAGTAAGATTTTTGCTCAAAATAAATAAAATAAAACCAGGCCATCCAGAAAACCTCACTCTTCCATATTAGTTGTGTTTTGACACGTTACACAAAGGAAATCCTTCTGCTCTCCTACAAATCAGTAGGCTCCTATTCTTTTCTCTCCTCTCTGCTCCCTTCTTTTCATACCCTCATTCTTGAAACTAGATTATGAAAACCTCAAACATAAAACCATTATCAGATGTCCTGAACTTCTTATTAATAATTGTAACCCACTCCCAACCCCCATCTCTCTTTTTCAGCTTAATTTTTCAATAGCAGTTGTCAGCTTCCAGCTGCTTCTACTACAGTAATGCAAGCTCCATGGGCAGAGCGGGCGGGGCGGGGGGAGGAGATATTGTGGAGGGGGGTAGAAATTCTTGTCTGCCTTATTCATTAATATTATCAAAATGCCTGAAGTGGTACCTGACATGTAATATGTGAAATTTACTCATACACATTCATAGGCACAAATACACACATGTACACATGCATATACAGAATGAAATAAAGAGAAACCAAAAAATAAAAGTGCAATAAT